ATCATCTCCCCAGAGAGCTGTGTATGCGGCAGAGTTGCGTTTTTGTTTATTTTGAGCTGTCTTGTTAAGAAAGGATTGATATGCTGGCATTGATGGGGGACAGCCATCAGGCAGTGTTTTCTGCCTCTGAGGGCAGTGTGATAGTTTGCTTCCAGTGAAGTTGGACTCCCCGTGTCTGGAAGCTGTCAGAAGTGGGAGCATGAAAAGGTCATGGCAGATGGCTGCGGATCGGCGAGTCGGGGGAAGCCCGGTGAAGGAGGCCAATGGCCTCGCTTGCTCCTGAGGGCAGGGCCAGGCCGGGGCTCTGTCGCTCCTCACCTGCCATGGCTGGTAGGGCAAGGCCCCTGGGCACCACTGTGAGGGAGGCACAGGGTAGGCGCGATGGAGCCCTTCCCAGCAGCCCTTCTGGGTCCTGAGACCTGCCAGATGGAATAACTTCAGGTGCCATCACTTGTCATGATTATCTGTGACAGAATTCAACCATGCTGAATTCTGAAACGGGAACCCCCAAAAGCCAACTTTTAAAAGTTTGGATTTATTTGGGTGAAGTTTTATTTTGGAAAAATACAGAAAAGGAGAGGATGTGGCCAGAGTTGACCACCGTGGCCGGTCTGCAACATAGCCTTCTCTTCTCTTGTCTGTAAATGTTTTTCTGTACTTCTCACATGACGTAAGGATTTCTCCAAGCCGGCTTTCCTCACACATCGTTTTTCTTGCTTATGTCTATTGCGTCATGGTTGGACTAACTAATCCTCTGTTGTTGGCCTCTTCAGTTGGAGAAATACAAACTTAACAAAAGCCAGCTTCCCTTGTTTTCCCGGACGTGTGCTTGTGATTTGAATGACTTAAAACCAGTGCATAGCGGCCCTGTGGGGAGGGCCTCGGCCGTTCTCCCGGGGGCTTTGCTACAGCTTCAGTCAGAAGATCAAAACCAAGGTCAGCGATCCAAAAAAACAGAAGATACTGATAGGGCTTCATGCTCCCATTTCCCATGTATGGACAGAAATAGGCGTGCACGTATTGTCACGTTGGAATGTGTCTTCGTTCCTTGGTGAAAATGGAAAGAGAAGACTGAAACTGGGCGGGCAGAGTTCCTCATTATGTCCTCTTGACTCCCCTGAGTGAGTCTGTGCAGAGCAATGCAGAGAACCATTTTTAGGAACCATAAACCTGGGGGCGTGAAAATGGCTTTTCCACTTAGAAGCTCTCCAGCCTTCCCCTCCCCCTGCGTGCTGTGAAGCCGGCACAGTTCTAGTAGAATAGTGTGGTGGCTGCGAGCACACCCTCTGGGACCGGGTTGCCTGGCCTTCTCCCTTTCCAGCTGTGTCATCTTGGACAAGTTACTCCACCTCCCTGTTTCAGTGTCCTCCTCCATAAAAGAGAGACAAGTGTAGACAAGGGTAGTGACCAACCTTATAAGGTCGTGAGACTTGAATCAAGGTACACAAAGGGTTTCTAGCCATGCTGGCACATGGCTGGTGCCAGTTAATGTTCACCCCTCCTTGCCCCTGGCCTGGACTGGGGCACCAGTCTCCTAACTGGTCTCCTGTCCACCAGGCTGCCTCCTCCATCCAACCAAAAAGTAGTCATCGACACCCATCAGAATCCCGAGTCAGGGACAGAAGAGGTCTCTGCTGCCCGCTGGATTCTACAGGCCCCTCTTCAGCAGCGGGGCTGGGTGTGCTCAGGAGCCTGGGCTCCTGTCGGGGACAGCCTTGAGGGATGGAGGGGGCCTGGGCCAGGATTAGAGAGAGGGCTGCCACTCCTCCAGCCAGTGTGCCCTGCCTGAAGACACTGAAACTCACCCACACCTCACGGAGGAGGAGACTATTTCATTGTACAAAAGGATTCTCCCATCAGGAAAGATTCCCCTACAGGTTTTTTTTAAATAGTGACTCCTCTAGGCAGGCGAGGGTTTTACAGATCATTAACTACTTGACTGAGAGCCTGCAGGGCAGAGAAACTTAAAACCCAAGTGTTGGGGGCCCCTGCCAATTACAGATCAATCCAAAATGAAGATAAAGTATCTGTGGAACTGGAAGTCAGTGGGAAATGTGATTTGATTCAGGGGGAAAAAAATCCGATTTTCGCGCACCTTTTTTGGAACACGCCGATTGTTTTAAGTGGCGTTCCACCTGCTTGCCCATCTTGAACCGAAAGCATTCATCTCCCGCGTCCTCATCCTCAAACCCCAGACTTGGGGTTCTCTCTGAACGGTGACTGCACAGTCACCCCGGGAAAGGGCGTCATTGGGAGAGTGTTCTTGTGGCTGCACAGACCTTAGGCAATTGATGTCGAGAGATAGCCAGTAATGGATGAACTAAACCGTAACAATTTGCAGATAAAAATAATAGAAGTAAAGTGTACTTTACATGATAAAAGAAAGATGAAAGAGGACCGGAGTCCGTTACATCGGAGATGGTTACACAAGTCCCGCTTTGTGAAGTAGGCTCTGTTGAAAAGATTGATGCCATGGGGAGTGACCTTGGCTTGGAGCAGGAGCTGGTGATGTATGTATGAGCATCCCTCTGCTAAATGGACCCAGATTTGTAGCACTAATATACATGGGAGCCCAGAACCACACTCAGCGCGGCAATAAATCAACAGCCACTTTGGGTGTCATTTCTGGTTTATATTCCACTGTTGTTCTATCACTTTAATTCATGTCACTATCATCTTTTCATCTGGAACAGTTTTATATAATTTTCCAGTGGAGTTACCTGACAAATCCTATCAAATTAACAAGGTACATTAACAATATTGACTGACTACGGCTTCAGGAGTTGCAGGGCCGTAGAACAAAATTTTAAAACGCTGTCTCTCTGGTGATGATTTTTTTTTTTTTTCCTTTCTGTTCTCTCTCTGAGAAAGAAACGTGGGCAGGGTCCACAGGAGAGAGATGCACATTTATTTTGCTCTGCTCATTTTGACTTTTATAAATGTCAAAATGAGCAGAAGAGGAGAGGGGACGAGAGAGAGAGAGAGAGAGAGAGAGAGAGAGAGAGAGAGAGAGAGAGAGAGAATTACTACCAATAACCATGGCACAAGTACTTTTCTTCTTTCAGGGAACTATAAACATAGCCAGACCTTTAACAATTAATGACCGAATTGGAGGGAGGGGTGTAACCGGGTGGCCGTCATCTGTTTTAAGTGAAATGTAATGAAGTGGGTCTCCTGACATTGCCCTCTTGAAATCATCTAGACCCGAGCGTCCAGAGTCCATTGGACTTACGACATTATGCCTCATTGAAATATGGTGTCCCTGAAATATATCTAATGACAAATTCCAGCATTCGATTAATAAAATAAAAAATATATACCAATTGTTTGTCTTTTCCAAAGACCACAGAATAACGGCCGGGGACAAGCAAGCGCATTGCATTGTCTCTGCAGACAGCTGACGAGACTCCCTGTAGTCTCCTGCCTTTGTCTGCTGTGCTGGGATTTCTTTATTCATAGGATAAAACAGAACCGATGGAGTCTGTGGCAGGCCTAGTCATTAAGATTTTGTTTGTGTATGTTCTCTTTCTTTTTTTAAAAAAAAAATCTGCTTTGAGACTGTGGTCATTGTGGGGGTTTGTGGGGGTTTTCGTTGTTATTGTTTTCATTGAACTGCTTTTTTATCTGCTTTTTCTTTTGGCTTACTAAGTTTTCTCACATTATACTGAAACATTCCTAAGGGCGATCCAGAGAATGAACTAAATTAACTCTGGTTGTCTTTTCTATTACAGTGTGCGCATTTGATTGTTTGATTCCTAATATCTGTACTTCATTTTGCTCTTTTCACTCTAACCCTGACCTTTAAACTGTGGCCTGGAAATTAATTACTTTCAAGACTCCATCTGGGGCCCGCTCCTGCAGGCGTGTGGAAGGTTTTTGTCTCACTTCATGAACAGAAATCCTCAGTTTTCAGCGGAAGAGGAACGAGAGAGCATCTGGCCTCGGCTGCGTGTGTCACGCTGAGCCTGTACCACTGGTGACCGGGGGACAGCGCTGTATACACCCTCCGCCCTGGGCGCCACCGTGTCCTCCAGGGCAGTGTGGCCCGCCTGTCTCAGTTCTGAGGGGAAGCCTGCAGCGCCAGGATGTGACATTCTGGGTCTCTGTTATAAAGTCTTAGTGGCACAAAGCCCACACCCCCTGCTGCCTCTCCGTCAGTGGAGCAGTGACCTCCACAGCCTGCGGCCAGGCTCCAGCACTTGAACTTGGACAGCTTTACGTGAAGATCCTTTGATCCTCCTGTGACCTCCTTTACGGCTAGCGTGGATAATGTCAGAGAAGGGAAGAGAGAGATTTTTCCCATTTTTAGTTTGTGAGATTTTTCCAGATTAGAAACTCTTCATATGGGTAGCTTGGCTATTTAGGCTAATATTACATATAGGTGATAGTACAGATTTATCTCCAACCCAGATATTATTCTAAAGTAACAACAGAAAAAGACCATGGCGTGGGGGGACAGGGGTGATGCCCCATTGGGTGGCTCATTTGGTTGGCGAGTGTGATCCCACATACAGGAGGCAGCCAACTGATGTAGCTCGCACATAGGAAACATCCATGTTTTCTCTCTCTTTCTCTCAAATCAAATATATATACATATTTATTTCTTTATATGCTTGGGTGAAGATTACAAAAAAAAAACACCACAGACCAGTGATCATAATTGGTTTTCAAATGAGCCTTATAGTTTATGTAATTGTAATATAGAGATGATGTAGGGTTAACACAGTATAAGTAATTGTATGTATTATATCTATGAAGGCATATTTCTTAATACTTTTTTATATAATTTTTGGTTGTCCACCCCCTCACCTCGAGAAACCAAACTGCGCAGCTTCCATGTGCTGTTTGGAGTCTCCTTAGGCCTGTCTGCAGCCCACGGCCTTCCCCGGGGCCCGTGTACCTCCCATGTGTGACTTACAAAGCAGGTCACATGATTAAACTGAAATCACTTACACCTTCCACTTCTGTGGCTTCTTTTTTGTCCCCCCCTCGGCTTACAGGTATCTCTGGAGACAAAGTAGAGATAGACCCCGTTACGAACCAGAAAGCCAGCACTAAGTTTTGGATTAAGCAGAAACCCATCTCGATCGATTCTGACCTGCTCTGTGCCTGTGACCTTGCCGAAGAAAAAAGCCCCAGTGAGTAGTCCCTTTTATTTATGTCTCCTTTCCCTCTCCCCCCCCCCCCCCCTTCCCTGTGTGCTGGGTGCCAGGAGGATATATTACCACCGTGTCCTTTTTTCCTTGGGTCTGTTTAATTCATTACCAGAAATTTCTTTTAATCAAATGGGATTGTGTTATGGTGCCCAGAGCCTGACATGGTCCCCCTGCTGCTCCGTCTTGATGGCAGCAGAGAACCTCGCAGCTCCTGACCCCAGTCGCCCCGCCTGGGCGCCGCGGGAGGAGGGGCCCTCCTGCTGAGCGTGTGCAGTCACCGGAGCCCTCATTTCCCTGGGTGCTGTCTGCCTCTTCCCGTGCGGGGGGAACTTGGCCAGTTAGTCCCGGACCTGCCTTCCTCCCTTGCCAGATGGAGGGAAGCTGGGGATTTCCTCTGTCAGCCGGAGACTAGATTTAGATATCCATCATGCTGAAGTGTCAACACCCTCCACGTTATTGGCAGCTGCACGACCTACCGGCTCGTAATTAAACTCCTGCCCGTCCCGCCGAAGAGAGCGCTGCGGCCTGGCCGGCCTCTGCCTAGACCATGGCCGTAGGTGCGGTCTGGTTGTGAGTTTTGGCATATTAGGTTTTTGCAGTTAAGCGATTGAGTGTGGCAGTTAGATTAATCATTTTTAGGACTTCGGTGGCATCGAGGGGCAGAAAGGACACGGATCACACTGAAATTCCTCCTTGGGAAAAAAATTTTTTTTAATATAGAAGGATCTGTTAGTTGCCTGGAGAAGGCTGTGAGACGATGGTTCTCAAAGTCTGGTCCATATCAGCATTGCCTGTGGCGCTTACAAAATGCAATTACTGTCCTCGCTGGTTTTGCTCAGTGGTTAGAGCATCGGCCTATGGACTGAAGGGTCGTGGGTTCAATTCTAGTCAAGGACACATACCTCAGGTTGCAGGCTTGAGGCCAGGGCATGTGCAGGCAGCAACCAATCGATGTATCTCTCTCACATTAATGTTTTTCTCTCTCTCTTTCTCTCCCCCTCCCTTCCACTCTGAAAACAATGGGGGGAAATATCCTCAGGTGAGGATAAATAAAAAGGCAGTTACCCACAGCCCACCCCAGTGGGGTCTGATTTGGTAACTTGGAATATAACTTGAGCCTCTAATTTTTGTTGTTCCCCTTTTTACCAGTGTTCCCTAAATTTGAGAACAAATGTTATAAGGAATGATAAGAGATGTAAGGCCAGCACAGTTTATAATATGGTTCCAGTTTTTGAGCTAATACTGACTAAACAGGGGCCTACAGAGCACAGAGCCCCACAGGGGGCCTGCAGGCTGGGCACCTGCCGCACAGCCTCATTCACGGATGGGCATTTCCCTGTTCCGTCCGTCCCAGGTGTGCCGGCTGCATAGTCCTCTCTTTCAACTCATTGGCCTACAGCTTGGCAAGAAGAGAGAACTTCGTGGTATGGGGAGAAGGAGGAAGGCCAAGCCCAGCCCACCCTCCTCCCACCATTCCTGTCAGCCCAGTGCGGCCCTGACTATGATGGCTGCCAGAGAGGGCTGCTGCCCTGGGACCCGTACCCCAGGGCCGCCCAGTTCCCTCTGCTTTTAAATAAACATCTTCCTAATTCCTCTCACTCCAGCTTGTCGGCCAGCAAATATGTCATTGTTCTAGCATCTTTTCTTGTCTGGGAAGCTCTTTATATGTCCTTCAATTCTAAATGATAGCTTTGCTGGGTAGAGTAATCTTGGTTGTAGGTCCTTGCTTTTCATCGCTTTGAATATTTCTTGCCCAGTCCCTTCTGGACTGCAAAGTTTCTATTGAAAATATAGCTAATTGTCTTAATGGGAGCTCTCTTGTAGATAACTAAGTGCTTCTCTTAAAAAAAATAATAATAATAATAAAGTTTTCTTCTTAATCCTCACCGGAGGGCATGTTGAGAGAGAGGGAGAGAGAAACATCAATGTGAGAGAGAAACATCAATGAGAGATAAATGTTAATCAGTTGCCTTCTGTTCAAACCTGCAACCCAGGTATATGTCCTGACTGGGAATCGAACCAGCAAGCTTTTGGTACCTGGAGAATGCTTGACCAACTGAGTCACTCTGTCCAGGCCCAACTGCTTTTCTTGCTGCTTTTTAGATTCTCTCTTTCGTCTTAGCTAGTTTGGCTCAGAGTGTCGGCTTGTGGACTGAAAGGTGCCAGGTTTGATTCTGGTCAAGGGCACATGCCCCTGTTGTAGGCTCTATCCCCAGTAGGGGGTATGCAGGTGGCAGCCGATCAGTGATTCTCTCTCCTCATTGATGTTTCTAGCTTTCTCTTCCTCTCCTTTCCTCTCTAAAATCAATAAAATATATATATATTTTAGAAAAGATCCTCTCTTTGTCTTTAGTGTTTTGCATTTTAATTATGGGTCTTGGTGTGGGCTTCTTTGGGTTCATACTATTTGGGACTCTGCATTTCCTGGACTTGTACTTCGTCTTTCTTTATGGTTAGGGAAATTTTCTGTCATTTTTTCAGATAGGTTTTCAATTTCTTGCTCTCTCTTTTTTCCTTCTGGCACTCCCACGGTGCAAATGTTGGTATTGAAGTTGTCCCAGAGGCTCCTTACACTATCTTCATTTGGGGGATTTTTATTTTCTTTTTGCTCTTCTGATTGAGTTGGTTCTTTATAGTTCAGATCACTTTAAAAAAAAAAAAATCTTGAAAGTTACAGGCTTACAGAATAAATTTCAGACTCCTCAGCATAGCCTTTACAGACATTGACACTCCAGGCTCACAGCCCATAAGTTCCCATCCTGAAATTTTGTGCTTCTGCGGTTCCGCACTGCCTGGAATATCCCTCCAACCTGGCCCTCTAACTCACGGACACTTCCATTGCCTGTGCCCAGCCCACTCATTCCTCAAGTTCCAGCTCAAATGCCAGGCTCTCCCTCTGCCAGGAGTGGTGCACACTGCTGGTAAAGCACCTCCCACTCTGTGCTGTTTTCGTTTGGGGTCTGCCCCTCCCTTCCACCCCTCTCCATGCCGAACTGAGTGGCCCAGGACCTGCTTTCTGATTCCTCAAGCCCTGGCTCCGGGCCTACAGAGGCGTCCTCGGGGAATGTTTGCTGTCTTGGCATTGAACTGAATGAGGCCAGAATTGAGAAACCCAAAGTTATTCAACATAATTGATGTTTAAAGTGCCCAAACAAAGATGTATTAAATGAGTCGGCTTGATGCTGGGTTGTTGTTGTTGTTTTTTTGTGTTTTTTTTTTATGATTTCCAGTATCTTCATCAAATTAATTCAGTGAGTTAATCTATAAAAAGTTCATCTTCAAGACCATCATCAGACCACAGAATTAATCTACTGAACTGCAGCTGCTTTTTTTAAAGGATTAATGGTAACCCTTTTTATCTTTTGTGTCTGTTGAACCTTAGAAAAAAGTTATTTTAACAGCCCTAAAGAAATGAAAGTCACTATATTTCATAAGTTTAGCCTGTGATTTTTATCAGCATGGTGATGTATGTTTGTAGCTGAGTTTACATCAAAAATTATTCTGAGGGCCTTCTTGAATGAATTATGGCAAAGGGAGAGAGTCTGGAAGTAGATAAGGTTTTTGATTTCTGCAATATATTTCCTTTTTCGTGTTTTTATCTCCTGTAACACACGTGTCTTGCTGGAGACTAGACCGTGTGACCAACTGAAATAATTTCGTCGTGAACACAGAGCGAACGTGTTATTAAACAGCCTTCTTCACAAAAAGGGAGGATAATGAAGTTGTTCCCGGTCTTCCCTGAGACATGTTTGTCAGGATTTTGAACAAAAAAAGAAATGATTTTTAAAAACCTTCGACTATGGCCAGTTTGCAGTGTTTATTGAGAAAGCTGCTGTCAAGCCATTAATTTGGTCGTCACGAACACAACTCAAGTTTAGTGGATGCCATATCCAAAAAGTGTGTGAAAAAGCAGCTGACTTGGCAGAGGAGCCGAGCGTTAGCGCACCTGCAGTGAGACGCATAATTACATCCATTGTGGCCAGAGGGACAGGCGCCGGAGCCGCATGCAGAGCAGCCCTGTGGCTGTGTCCCACCTGACTCCTCCCTCTCGGGCCAAGCTCTCGGAGGGAAGGTTCGTGACTAAACAGACACACCTTTTTTAAAAATTGGACATTGTAAATATGGACTCTTAAAGACTTAGTTGAGAAAATCTGGGTCTCCAAAGTGCAGAAATTAAGAATGATGTCTGCCTTCCCAGACTTTAAAAAAAAAAAAAAAAAAACATATGCTGCAATATTATTATTTAAATCAGTGATTTCTCAGCCTGGGTTTGCCACTCCTAAGGATATCTTTCCCTGTTTTGAAGGCTGTCACAAACCTCTGAGACATGGATTAATTCCTACTGAACAGAGATGTGTATGGCGCATAGGAAAGGGGGATATTTCCATATCAGAAGCTGCCGTGGTTAAAGATCTCAGGGAAATAATTCTCCATCGTCACACAGGCCTCACATAAGCTTTCTCTTTAAGTGCTCGCCTCGAATTCCAACACTGACACAAAAGCAAGGGACCCCCTCCTGTGCACTCGCTCCCATCTGAGACTCTGCTGCATTCACAGAAGTACCAGGCTCAGCCAGGCCAGGTCTGCTTTTCTCATTCCGAGTCTTTAAAGGAAGCAACCTGTCATTAAGAAATCGGATTTCCTAGTAAACCTTAATAAAGTAGCTGTCGTCTTTATAGCTGAAAAAGAGCTCTGTATCTCAATTAAATATAGATCATAGAAAATCTTAAGGAAGCAGCATAATAGAGGTAACCTGATTACATTGTCTTGCAATAGTATAATTCAAAGGAAATCTGATTCTGTTGATGCTGGTTATGTTGGTGGGGGATTATTGGTTTGGGGTTGTTTGTGTATCGGTTTGTTTTTGTCCAAAATACTGTGTGGCTACAGGGTAGGAACTCTGGGATGGAGTTAACACAGCGGTGGGAGACCGCCAAGCCCCACCTCGTGAGTCGGATCTGTGGAATATTTGCAATGAGACT